CGTGCAGAGGTGTTTACTGAAAAGCTGGAACTGATAGGAACTGAAATGGGCTCTGTGAGGTGCTTGGCACCAGCGTCTGGTGCACGGTGGGTGTCTCATAAACAGCAAGCGTGGTCCCCATTTCTGCTAAAACTGCTGTTGACAAAGTAAGGCTAAATACGGAACAACAGAACAACCATGCACCTGTTCGTGCAGCAAGCAAGGCTGCCCAAAACCGCCTCAAAGGCTCTCTGAGGGCAATCCTACTGTAGTGTTTTCTCTCATTTATTGTTATTATTTTTTTTTTTTTGGTAAAGATTTCTTTATTTGAAAGGCACAGTGACAGAGAGGCAGTTTCCATCTGTTGATTCATATCCCAGGAACTCCAGCTGGGTCAGGCCAAACCTTGGAGGGTAGCAATCCAAATCCGGTGGCCTTTGCAGGTGGGCCATCATCTGCTGCCTCCCAGAGACGTTAGCAGGAAGTTAGGATAGAAGTGGATGCAGGATGCCACCCCAAGCACTCTGAATGGGCTTGTATGGATCCCAAGAGGAAGCATAACTCACTATGCTACAATATCACTACTCTTCCACTAGTTCATAAATTCTACTCGTTCATTTCATCGATTTCAGGAATCCTGATTGGGACTCTTCTAGTGGTTAGCCGGGGCTGATGGGAAAACAAGAGTGAGTGTTGGGATGTGTTGGGACCCTCGTTGTGGCACAGCACATCAAGCTGCTGTATACAGTGCTGGCACCCCATATGGCTGCAAGTCCCTCTCCCATATGCTCCACTGCTGATCCAGCTCCCTGCTAATGGTCTGGAAAAAAATAAAACAGTGAGAAAAAAAAGAAAGGAAGGAAGGAGGGGAGGGAGGGGGAACCTACCAAACGGAAGATCTCTCTCTCTCACTTGCTGGCTTGCTCTGCAGCTCTTTTAAATAAATAAATCTTAAAAACAGAATTTATGCTTTTACAAAGTGAGATCTTTTGGGTCTGCCAGTTGCAGCAACGATCTTGCTAGCAGAGGCCTGCCGTGTCCATGCTGGAGTCACACGGGTCCCCATCCCAGATGAGATCCCCCCTCACAAGGACACTGCCCTTCCTGGACAGTGACATGGTGATGTTGCCTGGATCCCATGCCTTAGAAACAGGTGCAGGTGCTCTGCTGGGATGGGATGGGATGCTGACTTCCTGACCTTACCCTCTCTGTTCTTCTGAACATCAGCTTAAGAACTGGCTGAGACTAGAAAGAGAATGAATCCAGGCAATTACCCTTAGGATTCTGGGTTTAGTTGTCTGGGAGATTCTTCCAGATAGACAAAAGGAAAAAAAAAAAAACGGGCTACTGTAAAGGGTTTATGAGACCGTGAAGAGCTTCCAGCTGGGAAACACCTTGCTATCTCCTGCACACTGTTTTTTTTTCTTAGATATGTGACAAGAACTCATTTTAGAAAAACGATTCTTCAAAGAAAATGATTCCTGCAGGCTATTGAAGACACCCAAGTGTCTCACCATCACTCCGATGAAATCTTCTTTATTATTTCCATATTAAACACTCAGATTTAACAACTCTTAAGACACACACACACACAAAAGACCGCTTCTCAGACCACGGAAAACTGGCCAGCTGGATGCAATGAACCCATCAATCAAAGTGCATAGAAAAAAACAAAACCCCTTTCAAGGAATCCGGTGATAAAAGCTTGTCCACCCCAGGGCTGCAGAACAACCTCATCAGAGTGGCAGGGAACTGGAGTTAACCTCTCTTTGCCCTTGGAAGAGTGGAGTTAGCAGCCCCAACTGTACGTGGTGGGGTAGCATTCCTCTGTGGCAGTGTTTACATTTCATAATTTCATCTGACAACTTGTGATCAATCGGGCCTTTTGGAAAATGTGAGCTCTTTCAGAACCGTTTGAAGGAGAATTGAAACAGCCTTTTGTACTAGCCTGAATATCCATGGGGGAATGCAACTTGCTTCTTTGTCAGGGAATCGGAATCTAAGAGAAGAACACTGGCTTTCTTGACATGTGGGTATAGAGTGATCCAAACAATTTCCAGCCGTCGGGACCCTTTTATTTTTCCTGGAAAAAAAAAAAAGAGAGGTTTCCTGGAAGTTTGGCTAGAGAGAAAATAATAGTGGGAGAACAGATGGGAATGGGGAGAAATACTATAAGTGGGCAGAAGGGCACCCTTGCCACGCAGTCACCTTAGCATCACCCAGGAAGGGCAAGTGTGCCGAGTCCTGCATGCTGGGGGTTCTGCCAGTGCTCTTCCTGTGGGCAAAACAGAACCCAGCAGCGGCAGCTGCCACAGCCATCCTGGGCAGAGCACACGTGAAGGTGTGATTAGGGGCACTTTGCCACGGGTGCCCGGGGACACATGGTTCTCCTGATGGACCTCTCACAGTTAGTTTCCTGATGCCATTTATACCATAGCAACTAATGACAGGACAGATGACTTTGGTTAAGTTCCAGCATGATCATGTGTCAGATGTACCCCATTAGAAAGAAAAGCGTGTTTTCCATTGCCTAGCCTGCCTTGCTTTCCGTGACTGTGGCCATTCCAAGGAACACCGCGACCCACAGCTGCCATCTTAATGACAGTCCGCCTCTCCCTCTCCTGGGGTCACTTACGCATGCGCTCACATGCGAGTCCTGCCCGCACCGCGTGGAACAATCTCTAGTGTTTTCTCGGAGAGGATTGCTACTGTCTTGAGGTTGATTCGCTTTGGAGAACGGGCATTTAATTGGCAACGGCACGTGTGCAGCCTCAGAAGTTGTGGCAAAGGCTTTTGATGATCAAAAGTGGAATCCTGAGTCCAGACAGTGGACCCACTTCTGTGCTGACTGTGCGTTCGGAGTCCTGTGATTCTCCTTACTAAAGACGTGCTTCTTTGGTGTTGGGGTGCTGATTCCCTCCTGAGGCTTTGTGAACTCCACCTCTGCTTACTGGGGCGCCTCGCAGAGAACGTGCTGGCTCAGTGTCCCAGGGGCCTCGCCTCTGGAGGCCCCTCTCTCCTGTTAGACTGTCCTTGACCTTCTGAGTGCCCCTTGACCTTCTGAGTGCCCCTTTCCATGTCAGGAATCCCCCTTGTCAGGTAAGATTTCTGTTCTCTGCCCTTGGCACCTTGACTTTCTCATGCAATGAAGCCTGTGTCTGACCATCTGAATCCTGCCTTGCCAGCAAGGGTCACCTTCTCATGTGGATGCCCTGAAGCTGAGAGTCTGATGCAGGAGGTACTGACCCAGGCCGGAAGCTCTTCACTCCTTCCCAGCAACTCAGTGCATCGTGCACCTCCCCCACTGTGTACACATCTCCCCCTTGCCTCTGTCCTAAAGGCCATTCTCACTCATCAAATGCTGGAATTCCAAACTTCTGCATCCCTTTCTCCAGTGGGCCACCACAACTGTGGTCCAGTACTGCAGAACCAGGCAGAAAGGCTGCCTGTAGGAGATCTAACTAGCAGGGGAAACCAGCATCCGCCCCCCCTGGCTTGGAGCTTCTCAAAGATCTTGGAATTCTCTAGGTTGCAAGACTTTCTTATGCTAATGATGTGACTGTGGGGAGGCTAGTGACCAGGTGACATTGGAAGTTTGAATTGCTGGAAGTTGAATGTAATCTACCAGGCTTCTGTGGTGGAACCCCAAGACAAGCTCTACACACCTAGGTTTTGGGGAGCTTTCTGATTATAGAGCAGTATGATGTGATGAGAGGGAACCCCACCAATTCCAGGGAAGAGTGGGCTGGAATGGTCCCTATCACACCCTATATGTATATATATATTCTTTCTGATAAACATTTATCACTATGCACACGGCACTTCCCTTACATCCGTTACTCACTCAGCAACCTATCAAACATGAAGGGTGTCATAGGAACTCCCCAGCTTGGTGGCTGAACTGTAAGAAACTGTGGGGGGCCTGGGGACCCTCCATCCAGCTGTCACCTGGAACCAGGACAGTCTGGTGGGGAGGACTGGAAACTCGACACGTGGGATCTATGCTAACTCCAGGTCCTAAGCACCTAGTAGGGGTAGAAACAGAACAACTTATTACGCCCCCGCGGAAGATGCTGTGCTGAGCAGCTTCAGATAGCGCATGTCCACAGGCTGCTCATCACCTCTTCCCAGGGACGTCCATTTGGAAATTTGGTCAGCAATTGCACACAGTCACAACATTCAGGTGTGGGAATGTAAAAATTTCAGACAGTGACAATTTGGGGGGAAAACGAACCCTCGTCACCGACAGTGTGAGGAGTCTAATTTGGAAAATACCTGCTCAGTTCATATGAGCACACGGACTCAGAATGTACCGTTCAGAATAGGCCCAGAATCAGCTTGAAACTTAAGCAGACGGTCAGTATAGAAATGGCCATCGCCTGCGATCTCTGTGGTTTGGGGCAAGTTACTGAATTTCTCTGGACCGCAGCGTGTCATCAGTAAGATGGATGTGACAGAATTCCCTGCGTTTTGGAAAACCGGAAGCAACCATCCAGGATGAGGCACACAGCGAGTTAACTGCTGGGGTCACTCCCACTGTGTCCATTTCTTGGCATCGGTGATTCGGGCTTGGCTGTAAAAGGGGAGGACATTATTTAGGGGCACCCTGGTATCACATTGTCCTGCAGCCCACCCTCACTGCATGTCACCAGTTGTCACCCTTTCAAAAGGTGCAACGCTGCTTCTCCAATAAGACGTTTAGAGCCTTTGGTGGTCTGCTAAGACAGAAGGCGTACAAGCACCCTGGGCTCTCCTTAGGGTGGGCCCCTACTCAGGCTGTCAAGGAGAGGCCGCAGAGGGTGAGGTCGGGGGCTGGCCTAGTTACGCAGGCCATGTCCCTGAATGCACGGGCCTCCCGCTGTCCTTCCTCACTGCCATCCCCCAGCAGCCCTCGGTGAGGCCGCCAGCAGCAGTGTCCAGAGGTTCTGTTAGGGTAAGCCTAACTCCTGGCTCTCTTCCAGGTCGCTCCTGCCTTCCACCGCTTCAGGACCAACCGGAGTCTCCAACCCCAGAGTTCTGCGATGAAACTGCACCTGAAGCAATGGAGACAGCGAATGCTCGTGGGGATCTTCGCTTGGGGGCTCCTCTTTTCGGTGCTCTTCATCTACTTCACCGACACCAACCCCGCTGAGCCTGTGCCCAGTTCCTTTTCCTTCCTGGAGACCCAGGGGCTCCTGCCTGTGCAGGGCAAGCAGCGCGCCATCATGGGCGCCCTGCACGAGCCCTCTTCTCCCGGGAGCGCGGACGCCCGCAGGGCGCTGCCAGAGGGGCAGGCTGCCAGTCCTTTCCACTCGGGGCCCGGCGACCCGCATCCATGGGTGCAGGCGCCAGACAGAGTCGAAGACAAAGAGGAGTTTTTTTCATCTCAGCTGAGGAGGAAATCCCAAAGTGCTTTCTACGCAGAGGATGAAGACTACTGGTTCACTGCAGCCCAGCCAGGGTGGCCAAGCCACCCCCAGGGGGCCTCCCTGGGGGAGCCGGGTCAAGGTCAGCGGCCCCGGAGGCGGCAGCGGCGGGAGAAGAGGCAGCACCTGCGGCAGCGCCGGAGCCACGCGCCCTTGGAGGAGGCCGAGGACGACGGGGACCGGCTGGCGGCCTCCATGTCCAGGACCTTCCTGTACCGCCTCTGGAAGGGAAACGTGTCCTCCAAGATGCTGAATCCGCGTCTGCAGAAGGCCATGAGGGACTACCTGGCTGCCGACAAGCACGGCGTGCGCTTCCGGGGCCCGCGGGCCATGCGCCGCAGCCCGGCCCAGCTGCTGTGCGAGCTGCGCAGACGGGTGCAGGTGCGCACGCTGGACGGCACCGAGGCGCCCTTCGCGGCGCTGGGCTGGCGGCGCCTGGTGCCCGCCGTGCCCCTCAGCCAGCTGCACCCGCACGGACTGCGCACCTGTGCCGTGGTCATGTCCGCCGGCGCCATCCTCAACTCCTCGCTGGGGGAGGAAATAGGTGAGTCCACCGGTGTGGGCGGCACTGGTTAGTGTGGGAAGCTGGGTGCCGTTAGCCTACGTGCAGACCCAGGGACCCCCCCCCCCCCAGTGTAGGTAGGACGCCTAGTGGAGACGCCTAGTGGGTTTTCCCGGAGCAGGACCCTTGCTTGTTCTCTCAGCTGGTGCCATTGGGGCGGCAAGGCCTGGCACCTGCCTGCATCCTGGTGTCTTTTTTTTCATCAGTGCTAGCTCAAACCTCTGCTTTCATAGAAATCCTGGTGTGCAGCACAGCCTGGCTTCCCCAGAGCCTCTGGACCTGTTGTGGTGGGAGTATGGGAGAGGAATCCAAGGGGCAGAAGGCGAGCAGAAGGCCCAGGCCAGGGAGGCCACATGCAGAGGAGTCGGCATGCTCTGGGGGGTTGGCGCTCCCAAGCGCTGGCGTGCTGATAAGAGCACGGTATCTCCGTTACGTGGGCAGGTGCACTGGACAAATGGCACAGACCTCTGCCCCTGCCTCTTGTTGGGGACCATCTCCGACATGATCAATAATAACTCCATAAGTTTCTGTTTTCAGATACCGTAGGGCAGGTCTGAAATCAATAGGACAGCCAACAGGGAAATTGGGATTGGGAATGGGGACAGGGGACTCACCCAGGACTGTGTTATGTTCCCAAGGTTGAAATCCTTCCAAGTCCAGTGTTTGTTCTTAAGACCTCTAAGTACTGGGACGCGGCCCGTGCACAGTGCTAGCATTTCACCCACGGTGTCTAGCCCCCTTCACTCCAGCATCGCAGCTCCCAAACTGTGGATACCAGTGTGTCTTTGGCTGAAGGAAGCAAGTTAGGTTTCAAGTACATTGCTGGCCCCAAAGTTCAGGCTGCTCCCGATTGGCTGCTGAGGAGTTCTCCATCCTCACAGCATCCCACCCTGCCTCCCGCTGCCTCTCCCTTGCCTGGGACACACAGCCCCTGGCATCGCTGTTCTGTCTCTTCCCCTTACCAGTAGGGAGCCCTTTGTGCTGCTGGAGCTCCTTTGGGTGGCCAGGCTGCACAGAGAGCTAGCCGATTGGCCCTTGCTGCTCGTTCGTTGGCTCAACAGGCATGCACTTCTGGTTCTGTATCAGGCACAGGAGAACAAATGCCAGTTGTGCCTGCTTTGGCGCTCAGACCACATGTAAAGGAGTGGCGCTTAATACCCTCTAGCAGCAGATGGCATCAGGTCAGAACTAGCCTGGAAGCGAGTTGCAGGGGCACAGCTGTCATGTGACAAAGGCGCGATTGCTATCTGCTGGCTTCGGTGAAGCAGACCCGTTGAAAATTGTTTGCAAGTTGAATTAAAAAAAAAAAAAGGCACAGTGTTTGGCCTTGAGGTCTGGCCCTGCGTCCCTCAGCTAACGTTACTGCAGACTCGCAAGAACACGGTCCTTGTGCCGTGTGTAGCCAGAGCTGGTGCAGAGCTGCGTGCAATTTATTGAGAAAGAGCAGTGGCTCACAGCTCCCATGTCCCGGGGGTGAAGGGGCCACCAGGACGCCTTCTGGTTTCTGAGAATCAGTGTCAACCCTGGAAAGGAAGCAGCTCAGTGTTGGGCTTTAAAGCAGCCTGTCACTTGATGCTGGCGTGGCTTTATTTTTGCACCCGGACCTCGCAAATGCAGTGTTTGGATCACTCTTGCATGTCAGGAAGAAATCCTGTGCTCTTCATTGCTGCATAATTATCCCTGACCAGGGTCTTCTAAACTCGGCATCTGTGAGAGTTTGCAAGATGGCTGGGGAGTCTGTGTTTCAGGGAAATGAAGAAATAGCAAATTGCATCTTTCTAAGAATCTGCATCCACAGTTAATGTGTGTGCTTATATGCAGTGTCATTAATGTAAGTGTGAAACCACAATGGAAGAACATGACTAGAAAGGAAGACGGCGATCCTTTTTGTTTTGTCTGTGTTCCTTGGAATCAGATTTTGGGCTCACCGTTAAGTTCTGCAGACTGGCATCTCAAAGCATCGTTGCTCTGTGTGCCCTGCCCGCGCAGCACATACCTCGAGCACACAGCAGACCTTCAGCCACGTGGAGCTAAATATGTGTGGGTCTCGAAAGAGCTCCTTGGGCATTGGCTAAATGAAGATACAAAGACTTACCGAAGGTCAGGATCTTAAAATCTGAGGGCAGAGCCAGAGGAGTCCTCAGGCTAGTGGTGCTAACTCCACCGCAGCCCTGCCCCAGGTCCCCTGCGGGCCAACGGCCTGGAATTCAAAGCATCTCCCCCACTAGACAGAGGGGTCTCCCTCCAGGGGAAACTCAGCCTCGGGTCTGTAATTAGCTGCCTTGTAGCGCCCCCTGGTGTCTGTCCCGCTTGCAGTGCAGTCCTGTCATCTGTTCGCTTGCCAGTCATACGGTGTCATGGTTTTTGGTCCAAGGAATGTGGCAATTGTAAACCCCAGCAGTTTGCACACTTGGAATTCAACATTCTGGCAGGTGGATGGGCTGTGGGGTGGAGGTACTGGCTGGAGAGAGTTTGGAATTCTGCATATCCTGATCTCAAAAGTAGATGCAAGAAGACCTTTTTGTATAAGCATGCGACTGGCTGTTTATTAGTAGCTGGCATGCCAGAAGGTCTGGTGCAAGACACAGGATGAAGAGTGTTTAGGCCCAACCCTGGCAGCTCGCTCTGTCCAGTGTAGAGCACAGACTGGAAACAGCCAAGTCTGGTTCCCATGGTTGGGAGGAGGATGAAGTGTCTATACAGGCAGGTGGGGTACAAGTGATGGGCTCCTGGCCCACCCTGAGAGCTGAGGGCTGGGCATGGAGAAGCCCCACCAGGTGGGAAGGCTTCTCTGAAGAGGCGATCTGGTCTGGGAGCTCCTCCGATGCCCCAGAGTTCAAGACATTCCGTGGTGGGGAGTGTGGTGGTGGCAGTCCACGGGTCTAGAAAGCCGGGGCAATGTCACACAGGTGTCCTTGCACGGCTCCTGTGCGGATCAGGCCTCACTTCATAGTTGAAGCAACAGGTGCCACCTGGAAGATGTTCACTGCAGACTCTTTTGCAAGAGCTTTGTATGTATCGTATGAAGCCTTTTAGCCCCCACGCAATAGATACGGTTATTCCCATTTGATGGGGAAGGGCAGGGAGGCACCCGGGGTCTGGATTCCAACCCCTTTTGACCAGGCTATGGCAAGAGCTGGTAGTTCTTCATCTTTGAGAGATGGGCCTCCTTAGGAAGCTAGGAGGGATGGAGATCTAGTGATTAGGGGTGCAGGGGGTGGAGACCAGAGCTGGGAGAGCAGAGCTGGGTCCTGGCTTGTCCTCATCGCTGGCAAGGTGTTCTCCAGGGCCTGGGAGGTCATGTTCCCTAGCTATTGTATGTTTGTTTCCTGATGAGCATGGGCGAGGAGGAGGAATACGGGCCCCAGAGCAGGACAGTGACTTGGTGCTGGCAGCCTCTTGGTTTTCCTTAGTGGATGCCCGTAGCCTGGACCCCTTTCCCATAAGACACTGTTACACTGCTGAGGCTTGGAAATGCCTTCTCCTGAGATGAGGTTTCCCTTCCCCTACCCCGCAGGCTTGCTGCCTAATCTATTCCTTGTCTAAACACGCATGCGAGGTTTGCTTCTTGGGTGTGTCGTCAAGGTGACACACAGCAATGTGTACTTCCTGACACATGCCTGTGGGCTAGACCCCCTCTCAGCCCCCACTGCCTACCTGTGGCCCCTTCCAGACTCTCCTGCCCACTGACAGCTTCCCAGACTGCAGCAGTCTCCAGACGCTGCCTCCTCCAGGCAGGCAGTCTGGTTGCTCCAAAAACGAACACCACCTCTGAAGGAGTTTAAAGCCCTCTGCCTGGTTAACTTGGAACAGAGTGCCCCGGGGTGAGGGATATTTAAGTTCTGGGAGGTTTCCAAAGCTGACAGCCATTGGGAATAACTACTCAGTGCATTGGAAAGCACCCCTCACTGGGGACCTTGGCTTGGTGATTTCCGTTTAGACTGGGGCTCTGGCGTGGGGCGCACAGCATGGTTGTGTGGGAGGAGCTGAGGTTGGATGCTGCGAGCATACTGCTGCTTCCCTACCCCCTTCCCCTGATCCCTCTAATCTCCCTGCTGATTCACTCGGAGCACCTGGGTCCCTGGACTGTCCAGACCCTCCTCTCGCTTTCTGCCTCATCGTAGAGCTGTGCTAGGTCACCAGTTAGCGCAGTGAGATCCGCCGAGCCTTGAAGGGGATCTGCAAGCTGATTACAATACCAGAGATCTCTCTTCCTTTGTAACTGTTCATAGTCGCCCTGCTGATGTGAGAGTGGAGATAGATAAAAGTGTGGACACCAGAAAGGGCAGTGGAGGCAAGGATCCAAGTTGGCATATTTTTCTCCATTGGGCATTGCCACTTCTGCAAACGGGTGACCTTGAGGAGCAGTGCGAATGATCGCATTTATAAAGCTTCGGCCCTGGGGTGCCCATGTGTTTTAGGTTTTGGGTGAAAAGTGGGCAGTAGGGGGTTGTACTTGGCTGACTCAGGACACAACGGAAAGCAGCTGATGTATTGCCTTGGGAGTCGAACCAGTCGATTCTGGCATCAAGCAGGTTCAACTTGGAACAAGTAACCGACAAAAATGTTTCAATGATTCAGATTTTGATGTCTGGCAGATATTTTCTCAGAAAGGAATTCAGTGAGCCTGTCACTGAAAAAAACTAACTGACTGCATTTGTTTTCAATGATAAAATTCACTGGAAGTTACCTGTACTTGAACATGGATGAGGCCCACAGTGAGATCCCTATTACCCTGTTTGTTTTCTTTTAATACTTAATCATTAAAACATGGAAGTACATATACATTAAAAAAAAAAGATAATCTGTGTGCTTTCAGGTCCCAGCTAACACTTGTCAAGATTTTCTTAAATTTAAATTCTTTTCTTAAATGGAAGGGACAAATACAGAGAAAGAGCACCCACAGCTGGTTCATTACCCAGACACCTGTAACCTTGGGTCTGGGCCAGATGTAAGCAGGGAGCCGGTTCTCCTGTCCGACTGGGAGCAGGTTGTATGCATTGTCAGGCTGCCCTATCGGGAGCCAGGAGTGAGGAGCCTGAGACAGGTCAGACCAGCCGTCATCATCATTGCCAATATCTGCCTACCTGTCAGGTTTGGATAAAGTATCAAAGAATTAATATGTATATCTCTCTGGGAGGATTTTGCAAATAGTTCTCCATATATATATTAGCAGAAATCAAGTATTGGGCCGGCGGGAGAGCCTAGCAGATAAAGTCCTCACCTTGCATGCAATGGGATCCCATATGGGCGCTGGTTAGTATCCCGGATGCTCCACTTCCCATCCAGCTCCCTGTTTGTGGCCTGGGAAAGCAGTGGAGGACAGCCCAAAGCCTTGGGACCCTGCACCCGCGTGGGAGACCTGGAGGAAGCTCCTGGCTCTTGGCTTCGGATCGATTGAGCTCTGGCCATTGTGGCCACTTTGGAAGTGAACCAGTAGATGGATGATCTTTCTATCTCGCCTTCTCTCTGTAAATCTGGCTTCCCGATAAAAGTAAAATAAATCTTGAAAGGAAGAAAGGAATAAAGGAAGGAAGGGAGGAAAGAGAGAGAGGGAGAAATCAAGTGTCATCTGAAAAACCAGAAGTGGGGCAAGCGTTTAGCCTAGCAGTTAAGATGCTGGTAAGGTCCTAGTGATGGGGCCGACATGGTGGCTCAGCAGGTTACACCACTGATGCCAGCATCTCTTGTGGACACCGGTCCAAACATTCCACTTCTGATCCAGCTCTCTGCTGATGTGCCTGGGAAAGCATTGGCACCCATAGGTGAGAATTCTAGGCTATAGGTTCCTAACCTCGGCCTATTTGGACAATGAACCAGTAGTAGATTCCTTTCTTCCTATCTTTGCCCTTCTCTCTCTGTAAATCTTCCTTTCAAATCAACCTGGGTGAGATGCTGGCCTTCAGCTCCTGCCTCTAGCTTCATGGCTCAAGTCATCTGGTCCACCCAGCCCTTCTAGGGTTTCCAGAGGTAAGAAGACAGTAGGGGGTGGCTCAAGTCATCTGGTCCACCCAGCCCTTCTAGGAGATCCAGATTGAGTGCTCAGCTCCTGGCTTCTGGAAGACCCACTCTTGGCCATTTTTTGGTATCTTTCAAGTGAGTGCATCAGCAGATGGATTCTGTCTCCCCCTTCCCACCTCTCCGATTAAGTGAATTAAATAATTATCCAGCTGTTAAAGAGAATTAACAGACATTAGGAAGTGCCAGTTCATCACAGCTCTTTGGTGTTTGAAAATAAGTTTCTGAAAAAAATTACTTAAAGATAAATAAGTAAACCGTGGTTTTTTTTGGTTTTTGTTTTGTTTTGTTTTGTTTTTTTGCTGTTGCACTCTCTGTTATGGTACATATGTATAGTTATAATCTTCAGAAATAAAAGTGTCTTGGGTTATCAGTAGTTTTAAGAGTATAAACGGATTCTGAGACCAAACTATAGCATCTCTTGTTTTGGATAATTAAGCCATCAAGCTTAAAACCTTTTGAATTTTTCTGACAAAGCAGTATTTAGCAAAAGTAAAAACAATTCAATCTGCCTCAAAAAATTAAAAAGTGAGAACAAGTGCTTAAATTGTAATGTAAAGAAACAGCTCTTAATAGAAAGTATTCAGGTTTATGGAAACCTGTGTACAAAGCATCAATGCCCTTGAATTTAGGGATCAGGCTTTTTGAAAAATGTGGTTATTACTTATATTTGAAAAGTAGAGAGACAGGTAGGCAAAGCTCTTCCATCTGCTGGTTCCCTCACTCCCACACACACCAGCAACAGCCAGGATGTGCCTGGGGTGAGTGGGCAGGTGGCTGCAAAAAACAGAGCTGTCAAGGAGCCCAGGCGTGCCACAGCTGTGAGTGCAGAGTGCTCCAAGCTGCTCCTGTGCCTCTCTTGGTGCGCATACAAATCAGAGCCAGGGTTGAGCCAGGTTTGGGTCAGGCCGAAGCCAGGAGCCAGGAACCCAATCCAGGTTTCCCACTTGGGTGGCCTGGATCCAGGTATTTCAGCCATATGTACCGCCCTTCGGAGGTATACAGAAACAGGAGGCTGAAATCAGGCAGAGTTGGAACCTGAGCTCTGACCTTTGCTGCTCCAAAGCTGTGCTCATTTTGGGGTGTTTTGCCACTTGGTGTTTTGAGGGGAAGGGCTACCAGGTGAGCCAACCTGCCTCTATCTCTTTCTGTCTGCTTGACAACCTGTGTCTTAGGAAACCCTGTTTCCCACCTGCCTGCCTGCCTGCCCACTCCGCCCTAACCCTCGGGAGCTCACGGCCCAGTGTTCAGAGAACGTGGGAAGACATGGCTGCCAGGTGGAAGGGGGAGAGCGGCGGATTCACATTGGTCTTCAGGTGTGCTGGGCCTCGTCGTGCCACTGCACCCTGACAGCTGATGGCCGTGGGGGTCTCTCCTGTCCTCTTGGACTGCGGGCCAGGCACGCCAGTAGTCAGTGCAGAGGGCTCCAATTTGCTCCTATGCGTGTCTTGGTGGCGGTGCGCAAGCCTGCACATAAGTGACAGCTGTTTGGTTTGTTTCCGTAAACATATCCAGCACCAGAAAGGGGTCAGGAGGAAGTGTAGGCTGTGGCTGCCACTGGGAGAGACACCTGTGGCCTGCCCCAAGGCAGTGACATCAGAGGCCCTTTCCAGCGCTGTGGTTCTCAGACTAACACAAGCAGCAAGAAACCTCAGCCTCACAGCCTTCTAGCACCTTCACCTGCACCCATACAGCTTGCCTACCACGTATTTAGAGATCTCAAGGAGAAAGACTGCATACAGTATACCAGTTATAAAAAAAAGGGGAAACCTAGCCTGCATTGAAGTATAACTTACCTGATATAGAACAGTTGTAATTGAGTGAACATATATAAATGTACATGAATACATGTACCCACCCCCAGGTACGGTCAGATGCTGACGGCAAATGGAAAAATGTTAATTTTGAAACAGTTAGAGAGAGAGAGATCTGGAATCTGCAGGATGATTCCTCAGATGAGCTCTAGGACCTGAGCTTGGACACGCCACAGCAGAAAGCCGAAAGTATAGCTGGGTCTCCCATGTGGACAGCAGACGCCCAAGCATCTTGATTGTCATCCTTCGCCATTCCCAGAAGCGTTAGCAGGGAGCCAGACTGGAAATGGAGCAGCCAAGACTCAGTTTGGCCCACATACGGGTTATCCACCTCGCAGGCCGTAGCTTATCCCTCCTTGGGCCTCATTCAGGTGCAAAATACCTTGAAATCCATCCACAGTGTTTCATAATGCCAATTTTTTTTCTTAGACTTAAAAAAAATTGCACATATACATAAATGGTGAGGGTACATGTATGGACACACACACACACACACACACACACACACACACACACACACACACCCCTGCTCCGCAGTCCCTATCACCCGAGTCAGGATCTTATTCTAAATTAATAGTAAATCACCTAAATAATGCTTGCATAGCTGTCTTAAGTATGTCATATGTAATCCGCTTCATGTATTGAAAAATGTGCTTTACCACTCTTTCCTAGATTGTGTGATTTTACAGAGAAGAAAAGTAAGCTTGTCATTTATGTGCCCTTAGATTCTCACGACGCAGTGTTGAGGTTTAACTCTGCTCCCACACGTGGGTATGAGAAAGATGTTGGAAATAAAACCACCATGCGCATCATAAATTCCCAGGTAAGATGCACTTTCTGTCGCTAACCAGTTGAACTGGGTAAGTGAGCAGAAGTTACCTGGTTAGCTGTGTTCAGCATACCTGCTTCTTTCTATGGTCATGGCAAGAATGAACCCAGGACGTGTGGGAAAATGGAACTTGAGAAGAAATGGGTAAACAGAGAGAAGAAGCGAGAATGTAGACAGATAGACATCCGTCGTCTCCCTTACCTTTCCCCCCTTAACAGATTCATGCAGACATAAGCATAAATGTGAGTGTATTTACAATCAGATTTGCATGTTGTATTTCGGGAACTGAGAAAGGCAGTTGAATGAAAGAAAAACCGTGTCAATAAAAAAAGGCTGGAATTCAAATGAATGAAAACCAAAGACACCCCCTCTCACAGTCCGTAGGATAGCTGTGAGACTTTGTAAGCTGACAAACTGGAGATGATTTGTTTAATTGAAAAGGAAGAGACGCCTTTTCCTTGTGTTCTTAGTAAAAATGTCTTGCAAATTTATGGCAGAACTATTCTCAGACCAAACCGCCGCGATTTCTAGGGCCCGAAAATTATGTAGAAAAAGGGAGGTGATAAGTGATTTATGATGAGTTCCTTGCAGAACGAACGATTAGCTCCCTGCACAGTTCACCGCGCCAGGCAGCCAGCAGCGAGGGAAGAAACAATTACCATATTCCCTTAATTTATAGACGTCGTTGACTATAAGATCTGACGTTCCTTTAATAACAACTTCCCTGAGAGGAGGAGATAAACCCCACCAAATTAAAACACACGTCACCCTGGAAGGTGCTTCCTAACTTCAGAGCCATTAAAATGTGAGGGAAAACATGTATCTTGATAGTGGTGAGAAATTGCATCCTAAGATGAGGGAGAATGCGTATTTTATAGATCTTTTATCTGCTGGAACAGCTGGAACTTGAGTAGGTGCTCATTATGGGATGCTGGCACCAGCAGGCAGAGGGTTAGCCTGTTGCACCATTGCATTACCCCTGTAGTTTGCTGCTTTTTTTTTTTTCCCCCAAAATCAATAGCAAAAATAGTCATTGACAAGGAAGGCTGAAAAATTCATCCAGTACCAGCCATGGCCACAGTGGAGGGATTGTGCATGACATCTGTCGTCTGCATCTTGATTTCATTCATCCGTGCCCACAGTTCCCTCTCCAAGTCACATGGCAAAGCATTTGTTGGGGTGCTGAATTACTTTAGGGGTTCCGTTTTTCAGAAGCTGGATTCCCTACCCCTAGATAAGAGCAGAGACAATGTGTAAGCCATGGTGGTTGTTTTGCAAAACCTCGTTTTCTCAGATATTCCTTAAGGCAGTATAACTGTGTTCTCTCTTCCTCCCCTTCAGAAGCCTAAGCTTCTTAAGCTTTGACCCTTTTGAAAATGTAATTTGGAAAAACCAAACAGCAGCTCTGAAATGGTTTCTCTGCCTGTTCACAGATCCTGACCAACCCCAACCATCACTTCATGGACAGTTCATTGTATAAAGATGTTATTCTGGTGGCCTGGGACCCTGCTCCTTACTCTGCAGATCTTAACCTGGTGAGTGGCTCCCCTGGTGTCCCTGGCCAGTGCTCAGACACTCCCTTTGCTGGATGAACACATTAAGGAATCAGCTTTAACATAGAATAAACCTGATCCTGACTCCTCGAACCAATTACATGTGCATCTGGATGCCCATTTACAATTGCATCCTTGGTGAGTATTATCATTTTTGTACTGGAGCATTGGAAAGGTATGTTGAAGATCTAAATGTTCATAAATTCCTACTTACATTGAAAGTTGGGTTGATTATACTCAGAATTGTTCCATTCTGCCAGGGTTGTATGATCTTTGTAAGACCTTTTGAAATGAATTGAATATGGTTGGCAAGGCAATCCTAAAGTCCATGCATTCATTGCCCATCATTATGTAGGTAGTGCTTGTTCCAGCCTTTTCTGAGCCAGTTGAACATGAGAGCTGAAACTGAGCCATTACTGACCATTGTGGCAAGCCACAGCTGCTTTTGGTGGATTCATAGGTGAAAGGCCAGTGAACCTGTATTGAGTGAGGATTGGAAGTGGGTAAAATCTAGCCCAGCCTGAGAGGATGAGTATCTTTGCCAAAGATACCTGGGTTCTTGACCAAAGGTACAAATCACGTGGACAGTATTTTTCATAGTCTATCAGAGGATGTTTTCCTAGCATCTTCAGTGTGTATTTTTGAGAAAGCCCCAGTTGATTTTCAGATGAACCTTCTCCTGAAATGAGTTATCCAGTAAGCGCTGGAGCATTCTGACTCCCTCTCCAGCTGAGAACCCAAGGTTGTTGGTTTTTTAAATTTCATATGTGTGAACAGAATGAAGGTTCTAGCTGCTAGATCGTTTCCGCTCCTCCTGTTCGGCGCATCTGTGCCTGCCAGCACATCCCACTAGTGGATGTGGGCCGCAGGGACGTGGGCCTTTGCTGTCGGGCCCAGGCAGTGAGTCATCTGTGGCCCGCTCCTCTCACTTCCTAACCAGTGTCACCTGGCTTGCGGGCTCAGTTATTACAGACGATCTGGCCAAATCTTTCTCGAAGTTGTGTAGACCACATAACCTTTGGATGAGTGAAATACTGCTTGGTCGTCATGATAGTCATTTGCTGCTCTCCATGTCTGAGGAAACACAAAGCCCATTGGGAAATTTCTGAAGCTTGCAAAAATTAACTTCATTGATTTTTTGGATATAATAATTTATGTCCAATAAGTGTAAGTACGCATTTTGATGAGCATTAACAAATTGATATGCTTGTGTACCCACAATCCCAATCAGGAATTAGTACTTATCCATCAACCCATGTCAATCTTCCCAGTCCCAACTGCAGACCCAGACAGCAGTGAGGCATGTTCTACCACTGCAGATGGAAAACTCTATCAAAATACATTGATTGAGCTCAGGGTTCAGCACACGATAGCCATGACCCAAATCTGGCCACCACACGTCTTCATAAATAAGATTTTGTTTGACTTTTGTTTAACCACAGCACACCTGTTCGTTTGTTCGTTCCTTCCTTCCTTTTCTTTCTTTCTTTCTTTCTTTCTTTCTTTCTTTCTTTCTTTCTTTCTTTCTTTCTTTCTTTCTTTCTTTCTTTCTTTCTTTCTTTCTTCCACTTCCTTCCTTCCCTCTTTCTCTCTCTCTCTCTCTCTCTCTCTCTCTCTCTCTCTTTCTTTCTTACTTGAAAGCTACAGTTGCATAGAGAGAGAGAGGGTGAGACTTAGAGATCCTCCATCTACTGCTTCCCTTCCCTGCAGTGGCTGGGGCTGGGCCAGTCAAGAGGCAGAAGCCTCCTCCTCGGGTTCCAGGGCCATCCTCCACTGCTTTCCCATTCACATTAGCAGGGAGCTGGATTGGAAGTAGAGCAGCCAAGACTTGAAGCAGAATCCATATGGGATGCCAGTAACACAGTCAGCAGCTTTACCCACTATGGCAACAGCACTAGCCCCTCCAAATACCCATTCTTGCTGCGCATAGCTCACAAATCCTGACGTTTACTCTGCTCTCCTTTGATGTAGCCCTCTCTCGTATTGTAGTAAATAGTAAAGCATCAGATCCCACTCCCTGACGACAAACCTCTGAAACTTTGCACGGGACCTTGCGCCCAGGAAGTGGCACTGGTAGTGATGAATCACAGGCCCCCTCCCCCCACACACGCCCCGACCTTCTTAGTGTGATCCTCTGAACCTGACTGTGATTTTGTTTGTTTTGTTTGTTTTCCCCTCAGTGGTACAAGAAGCCAGATTACAACCTGTTCACTCCATACATTCAACATCGTCAGAAAAACCCTAGTCAACCATTCTACATTCTTCATCCTAAGTTTATATGGCAGCTTTGGGACATCATCCAGGAGAACACAAAAGAGAAGATTCAGCCCAACCCACCTTCTTCCGGCTTCATTGGTAAGTATATGTGGAAGGCTGAAATTGTGGAACAGGTGGGCAGGGTGGTGCCTCATGGTAAAGACACGGGTCATGGAGTAGGAGCAGCTAGCAGGTGGTTTGGGAGGGAAGTAGATTCTGAAAGGAAAAAAACAAAAAAGACATTGTGTTCTATTCATTTATTCTTGCCTAGCTAACTATCCTAAAATTTGAACATGTAAAGCAAGAAATATTTTATTTTCTCCCAGGATTGTGTGGATCAATCCAGAACTAGCTAGGATACTCCTTTCTTCCACATGGCACTGATGGGGACCGATCGGGGATAACTGGCTAATTCACTTGCATGTCCAGACCTCCAGCAGGGATGATGGAGGACAGGCTCGGTCGGGCTCACTGTCCATGCGTCAGCACATGGTCTTTCACATGGTTTTTTAAATGGCATCTCAGGAGTCCTGGGGAGAGCATTCCAGAAGACAGGAGACAGAGAGTGCTAGAAACACACCTCTCTCTATATATATGCTTGTGTACCCACAATCCCAATCAGGAGTGGGTGAGAGCAGTGACAGGGCACACCGTGTTCTGGGGAGAAGGCACAGATCCCACTCCCTGATGGGAGGTTTGACGAGGATTCGCTGCCATCTTTCATCCAGCAGCTGCTCCTGTGTCCCTGGAGTGTGGGATGCCTGCTGAATATGCCACCACGGGAGAGTGGGTCATGTGGCAAGGCTGCTGATGGTGACAGCTTCGCTGAGACTGGTGCCAGTGTGCCCTTCAGCTCTCTAAACCAGATACTCCACTAGCTCTATTCCAAAATGGGATTTTAGGTAGCTAAGCGATCATAGATGGCCCCAGTTTGATTTTAGCTAGACTTTGATGCTCAGGTTTCTTTCTCTGTGTTCCAGTTTGTCCAACCATCACTTCTGATTTGACCTCAGTAGGGCGGGATGAAGGGATGTGCGTGATCCTCTCGGCATTATGAGAGGATATCATAGGGCCATAGGACAGTGATGTCCTGAGCCTGTGCCTTCCTCGGGCTCTGCAGTGGGCTGTCACTGAAGGAGATGGCGGTGGCTTCGGAACTGACTCAAGGTGCACAAAGTGTCACGAACCGAGTATGACACTTGCGGATTCTGGAGTGGGATTTCGGTGTATTATACTCATGTAAAATGTTTTCTGCAGAATTCCAGCAAAAATTGCAAAGGAACTGGCCCGTTGTTTGCTTTAAGCACCGCCTTTGCTGCCCTTGGAAACTCATGTCTTTGTCACTCTTTGTCTTCCAGTCACTCTTTTGAAATCCTAAATTCTTGGTCTTTTGTGTAGGTTCTTAGCCCCATTGATTTAGGGGATAAAAATAAGCATAATTTGGTTTGTCAGCCAAGGGTAAACAGTGTAGAATAATGCTTAGCGTCACAGGATGTGGCAGAAGTTTAATAAAGTCTTTTGTATACTGTGGCCATCTCATGACTTTACAGGGGCGATATTTGATTACAGAAACACTTTCAAAGCACAGCGGTGGGGAGGCAGCTGTCAGATGCACTTACTACTGACAGATCGTTCTAAAAGCTCAAGTTTGAAAATCCCAGCCAAGAAAAATACTGTGCCATGTGTTTTGATTGATAGAAACCATGTTGCCCATGACCAGCCTCCATTCGTAGCTGTAGAGAATTGAGACTTTTCGGAGCTCCTTCTTGCCTTTCAAGGCTTCTGCGGTGTGCAAAAGTTGGCTGTCAGTGTCAGTGTGGTTTGGAGAGCAAAGATTTCCATCTGTATTCCACTTCATGCTTGCCAGTGGCTTAATCCTTGGGCCCCTGCCATCCCCATCCGAGAAATGGAAGCCAGGCTCAACCTCTATGAAGATGAAGTCACGAATGAGTGGCCCTCATGATTTTCCAGCATCATCCTGTCCCATGCGGCAACTGTTACACACGTGCACCTCCTAAAGTTTCAATTAATTAGAGTTGAATCAGAGAGGAAAACTCCTTTCTGAGTCCCGTAAGCCTCATTGGAGGTTCTCACATAGGCTTCTCCTGGTGGCTGCCAACACAGCGGCTCCAGGGCTCTTCCGTTTTCACCAAAAGCTGGGTAGGACACCTCTGTCAAGTTTTCCTAACCACTTAAAGGATGCAAAGGAGACAGAAGCTGCCGAGGGGGTCTCGGGTTTCCAGGGGGCATACTGTGCATCTTGGGGGGTGGAGAGACAGAAAACGTGGCCAGGCATTATCACGTAACTCATTTGCTGTCCTTGGGGCCAGCAATGGCCGCATGGGAAGTTAAAACTACAGAATACGAGCATACAGTAAGCACACTGGTTCGAGTCCTTTTTAGTCAACCTGCTAAAGTTACAGTTCATGTGAATCCCAGGGACTTGCTTCCATCTGCCACGAGGTATGAGGCAGATGAGGAAACCTAAGGGGCGCTGTTTTAGCCAAGTGTTGTCATGAGAAGAACAGAGCACGCATGAGCAGAGGGAAAGCAGCTGAGAGCAACTCTTCAGAAGAAAAAGGCTGTTGAAGGGAAGTGTCCATTGATGCTTATGCCAGCCAAATGGAATGTAGGGCAGAATGGACTAGACTGCTGCACATCCCATCATGCACAGGAAACCCGGGGCTGGGGTCGGGCCCGGTGGAGGTGTATACCTATTGAAGTTTGTGTGAGGTCCTTTCAGAAAAGTATGTGTGATGAACTAATCCTGTCTTCTTGTCTACCATTCCTCCTGTTTGCCTCTGACTTTTTACAGGAGCAAAACAAACAAACAAACAAACAAAAAATGGGTGGGGGTGGATTTCCTGGGCCTCTCAGGTCAGGGGAGCTGTCTGTCTTCACCTTACTCCTAAAGTGGCAGAGACAAATCCAGCCATTTGGCCGCCTAGTGGGCTAGGTGTCAGAGCTTCGATTTCTTCCGACTCATCAATGCGTTTCTTTATGTCTCTCTTATTATCACGCTGGCTTTCCAGCTTAGGCTGCTTTCCTAGCTAAGCTAAGTAAATGTTTCACATTCCCAGGGGAGCCCCTTTTTTCTTTTTATCATTCCCACCCTAATTCCTTTTGCTGGTGAACCTGGGAAAGTAGCAGAAAATGGCCCAATTGCTTGGGTCCTTGCTATACATGTAGAAGACTTGAAGGGATCCCAGGTGCCTAGCTTCAGTCTGGACCGTTCTTGGCATTGGTAGGCCATTTAAGGAGTAAATCCACAGACAGAAGAACTCCATTTTTTTGTTTAAATAAATTCATTTTATTTTTAATGAACTTTACATTGTTTGAAGGGATGCATGTTCATATGGACCACCAATTAGAGTAGGGAGGGTCAAGGAACAGGGCAAAATGGATGAGACAATTGCCTCCTTTTTTCTTCCTGTTATCTAGGGAAAGTGGGGAGAGAAGGGGAGAAGGTGGGGTTGCTCCCAGCAGCTCAATCACATCAGTACCTGGAATGAGTGGCGGCCACTGATGTCATCCCAGGGTCCCTGATGTGGAGCACGTTCTGAGGGCCCTGCTGAAGTGCATTTGATAGTTCTGAGATGCTGTTGATTTTCTTGCTCCAAGGTTGGGGAAATCCTTCCATTGGCTGACATAGTCCACCTTGGAGTCTCGATTCATACAGATACTCGCTGTCAAAGCTTGACTAGGAGAGCTGTCTGATTTATTTTGCCCTCCATGGTACTGCAGGCCTCAATGAACTCATTGTCGTATCCCCCCATGAGCATCTGGGCTTGCACTACACAGACCTCAGCAAGCGTGGAGAACCAGTTCTGACACATGGTCTGACCACAGTCAGACCATAGATCCTGTGATTTTCACCATGATTGGAGTTCTGAGTCCAGTGGTCCAGTGGGGTGGTTGGTCCCCAAAGAAATCTTGCCATAGATGACCCCAGCTTGATTCCTGTGTGTACTAGTCAGTGCAGGGTCTGGCTCAGTCCATCTCCCATATCAGCCTACAAACGGACTAGTGGCTGTATCACCTGGTTAGTTCTATCTCCAGCCACATTTCATATGCAAACCAATGGATGCTGAAGCCCAGCCTAACTTTGCCTACCACGTGCTTGGCCCTCAGGCACACCAGTGGGAACTGCAGCCTGGTCGAGCGAACCCCAGTAACCTCCACCAGGCCCTCCCCAGCCCCGATCCCCATGCATGATGGGATGTGCAGCAGTCTAGTCCATTCTACCCCACGTCCCATTTGGCTGGCATAAGCATCAGTTGGCATTGGAGCCTAGCTTCGCCTGACCAATGCCACTCTCACGCCAGTGGGTAGTGCTGCCTATCTAGCCAGTGCTACCCCCCAGCCCTGCTTCTCATGCTCACCAGTGGGAGCTGAAGTCCATCAGAGAGGTACCACAACCTGCCCACTGGGCCCACTCCCAGCCTTGGATCTTGCATTTACCATGTGGTTCTATGATCTAGCCTGACAGGACTCGCTCCACCCCCCTCCCCCCAGTTCCAGAACCTATCAGCTGATATTGTAGCAAAGCCCAACCAGCTTGCACTTATTCTGGTTCATGCATGCCCCAGTAGATGTGTTCACTTAGCCCAGCCTGGTTTTACCCCTAACTCAGCTCACATGCAGACCAACGGACTTTGTAACCCTGGCCAGCCTGGTCTGTTCCTAGTCCCAGCTCTGACTGACCAGTGGAAGTAGTGACCCAGCAGGGAAAGCTGCACAGCTCATCTCCTGGGCTCGCTTTCTATCCTGGGTCTTTTGTGTGCTGGTGGTATTAGTGGTCCAGTCTGGCGTGGCTTGTCTCACCTTGGCATTCATCAGTGTATGCTACAGCCTGGCTCGATCTGGCCTACTCCCAGTTCCAGCTCATGCTGGCGGGTCCTACAACCTAGTTCACCGCAGCCAGCTATGAATTCCAGCCATGGTGTGAACCAGGTGGTGTTGTAACACAACCTGACTTGTCCTACACCCCATCCCAGTTCTCACATCTGCCAGTGGGTCCGATGAGCTTTCCCAGCTTGTCCAACTCCCAGACTTATGTCACATACATGCCAGTAGATAGTGTAATCTAGTTTGCTCTG